TAAAGAAAATTCAAAAAATATAGGGGTTGAACCCCTACTTTTGTTATAGGAAAGAAGAAAAGAAAAGGTGGAAGAAGAAGAAGACATGGAAGAAGAAAAATGTGTTGATTAGACAAAATTTTAAATTCTTCCTTTGCTTATAGGTTCATGTTTTGAAATTTTTGAGGGTTCAATCAAGGATCAAAATTTTGATACGATACGCCCCATATCGAGTGTATTGTATTGTATCTTTGGGGTCCCGATACTTGTTTACAGGTGTTTTTGGGGAACCCATTTTTTAATTGGAAACCAAAGAAATAAAAAAAATATAGGGGGAGTATCGTTATAAGTACCGATACACATCTACCAATACACAGAGGTGTTGATACTGTGAACCTGGGTTCAATACAACAGTTAGCAATGTTGCATTGAWTAAACCCTAAGAAAATAAGAAGATAATAAAAAGAAATTAGTATATAAACACATAAAATGAATATTCTAGTTTAATAATGTCTATTTTATAATTATAATGTCAAAAAATTAAAAATATAAAAGTATTTTATAACCCAGTGCACAAAACTGCTAGGCGACTGAGCGAGGCGAGCCTCCAAGGGCGCCTTGTCACCTAGGCGTCGCTTTGACAACTATGATCACAAAATATCTCCTTTTTATCTTCCTTCTTTGTTTCCTTTTCCTGATCTCTCCCAAATTTCTGTTTTGTTGCTGCTAGGGCTGATTCCATGGGTTGAAACTGTAACATCACCTTTCTCCTACTCTCTTCATTGTGCACTAGTGAATAGGCCTGAGCCAATGTCACACTCTCCCTAGTAAGTAGTTGCTGTCTTACTATGTCAAATTCTGAATTTAGACCTACTAGGAACTCAAAAACTCTATTTGTTTCAATCAGCTTGCTATAAGTAGTTGCATCTCTCTAACTCTCCCATTCAATGGTTTCCAAATGGTCAATTTCATGCCACAGAGATTTCAAAGTGGCAAAATAAATGGAGACTGGCTTCGCCCCCTGCTTGAGATTATTCGCTTCACACTTCAATTCATAAGCCCTAGCAACATTAAGGGGTTGGGAGTAGGTCTCTTTCATATTATCTCAAATTTCCTTGGTTGTTTTTGCCCATAAATAATTTCGGCTAATGTGGGGCTGCATTGAATTGCACAGCCATGTCATCACCAAATAGTTCTCTTGAACCCACTTGGCATGTGATGTGTCTTCCTTGGCTGGTTCCTTTATATCCCCAGTCACATAGCCTAATTTGCCTCTACCCCCAATAGCCATCATGGTTGATTGGGCCCACTCCAAGTAATTTGTTTGGTTGTTCCATCGAATATAACAGTTGTAATTTGAAAAGAACTTTCAGTCATTCCAGCCCCCAAAAAACCTTCCCCTTGAGTCTTTAATTCACTTCCAACCTTCTCTATTTTAAAGAAGATATTAACAGTCACTACTTCAAACAAAAAAGGCTTGAACTCCTTTTATACAAAAGAAACTTCCTTTTATGCAAAAACGGACTCTGCTGATTCAGAAATCACTCACAGCCGAGAATCACCACCCACCAAGAAACACTCCTCGGTCAAGAAGTATCACCCAGAAACCAATTTCAGATTACTAATAACTTCCAAGAAACACTCCTCAGTCGACAAGAATCACCTAGGAACCAAATTCGGAATACTGTAGTTGTCGAAGAACCAACCAGTCACAGAATAATTCTGGGAGCAAGAACTGACCGTGGGGTTTCAAAAAACTTAGAGAAAATAACAGAGATAACAGAGAACTGTCAAAAACCCTAAAGAAACAAGCTAGGGAGACAGAAATCTATTAACCGCTGCTTCCAGAGAGGTTTAAACTGTTCCTTTTAAAGGTCAATCTCAATAAAGATGAGTTTTTTTCAGAAAATGTTTGATCACCACCCTCAATCTCCAGTTTAAGCTCTAATCTTTGACTTACTTAACTTCACTGATCTTTCCTGGTCACCGGACACTCTCCAAAGGTCATGTAATCCCTTGGGCACAACTCAAGACTCTAGTGATCCTCCAAGAATCAGGCGATGATGCAAAGCTTCAGATTCAGTAAGTTCTCATGCTTCCGACTGAATTAGGCTCACATGAGAGCCCTAAACTGTCCTAGTTCTGGCTCTGATACCAACTTGGAAAAGATTAAATCAGAAAATAGTGGTTTTCTGATTCAATTCAGTAGAAAAGTGAAGAGAGAAAGGTCACGAATAGAAGAAGAAAGAGAGAAGAAAGGGTTCGGAAGAATTAAATTCTCTAGCCGCCCACTAAATCTTATTTATATTGTGATCTTTACAATGACTATAATTACCTTAATACCCTTACTTAAAAAATAAAAGAAAACAAACAAGCCCCAACCGGCCCAACTACCATAACTGAAAAATAAATAGATAAACAGCAAATATAAAGTGTGGGGCTGGAACCCCACACACACTAATAGTCTATCAGCTATCTCTACAATTTCCACTAAAGAAGCAACAAAAATGCAACTGATCTCTGATCCCTAACCCTCAAATAGAATGAGTTGCAACCAGAATCACAACCTCTTAGAACAAATTACAATTTACAACTATAATAGAATGAATTCAGGTAAGGGTTACTGCCTCCCAAGTCCAAATCCCGACATGGGCTTATTTGGGCCCGTGGACCCTTCATCTCCATAAAGGCTCCACCCTCCTAGGACTAGGATGCAAAATGTCTAACATCACACTAGGTACTTTAGTTAATGCAACTAGAAGATAGACAAAGATAATGAGAGTTTCACATGCTTGAATTGTCAAGTATTTAAAGCACCTTGGTACAATCCACATCAGTTTGCTTTCACTTCCACTTTGAATTTGCCTTATATGTTATGCTTATTTATTTTCACTTGAGCCAATACAATTTTATAACATTTAATTAATTTTAAAATTAAAATTTCCAAATTGTTATGAATTAATGTCTTTCGGAATTTTTTCAAAAATTGATGCCTTACATTGTCCAGGGCCTCCAGGCACACACCTCACCTTACACCTTGCACCCTGGGGTATAGAAGACCTTGTACTTTTCTTATGTCTCTTGCTTTCAAGACACTAGGCTGAGTGTAAATTCTGGATTACTTTTGCTTCAGGTCTGATTTTGTTTTGTTTGTTTGTGAGGAGCAAAATGAAAAGTAGCAAAATGATATGGTTCCTACTTTACATGAAAGAGAATGAAGGCAGGAGGAAGGCAGTTTGTTTGGGAGGAGCAAAATAAGTAAATAATGTGCCCCACTTTAATGAAAGAGAATTAAGGTAGGAAGAAGGTGGTGCAAATTTTGCATCAGTTTTTTGGATACAAAATTTGCAGCGCCAATGAGTGCAAATGAGACAAAAAAAATAAGCGAAAATTCTGCATCAGGTAGGAATGCAAATCATAGTTAAAACAAGCAGATGCAAATCCAAACTGGATGCAAAATTTATATCCTGTTCAAATTTGTATTGCAAATAAACAGAGCCTAGGATACAATGATAGAATGAAAGCAAAATGGAAAGAAAATTAAAATGGTAAATCCCAATAGACAATTGTCCCCATGATATATAACAACATTGTCAGAGTTGGATTTAGACTGAAAGATCGAATTGTTTGGACCAGGAACTGGCAACCAAAATGGTTTTTCAGCCCACCTCTTAGAAATGTTGATTTCGTCAAAGTTTACCCCAAGTACATGTTATTAGTAGGTGTTGTAGCTAAAAATATTTATTGTTTTAAGCTTACTTTGGTGCAAAAGAGCATTAAAAGATGGTTTGGAACCATTTACCGTTTATTTAGTTTTTTTCATGTTTTTATTTAAACAAGTCTAGCTGTCAAACCAGACTGACTCTGTTTGACCTGTGACTCAGTAGCTAAAACAGTTTCACATCCTGTACAATTTTGACAACATTGACACAGGCAATAACAACCCAATCCATTGGTTGGGAGCCATGTCATATCCAAAGGGTAATAATTAATAAACATCATAGTCAACCAGGTCCAGGGCCCAGGGTTCTATTTCTAGCAATACTGACTGTTCTCTTTAGTTATAAGCAAGAAAAGAAGGTGTCATTCACCCCCACCATACTCCATACCACACCCACTTGCAGATGAGATGCCTATTGTCATTTAACTAATAGAATAACAAGGCTAGAAAAAGGTGCTGCAGTCTCCTTTTACTTTATAGGAGAACTATTCCTATGGTTCCATCCTAAACAAGTATCACAGAATGGAGGAGCATGAGAAACAGTAAAAAAAAATCTCTAATTGATAGGGGCCAATTTTTGAATCATCTGTATCTCAAGTATTTTTTACCCATTGAACAATCCTATATGAATTATAAATTTTCTTCCATTTTTTGATAAATTATAAACTTTCTTCCATTGCTAAAGTCAGTTAGCCTCTGTTTAAACAATACTACTTGTTGAAGATTTAATGTTTGAAATAGCCAAGCTGACAAAATAATATTAAACCACATTTCTCTATATAATTTATACAGAAAAAAATCAAAACAAAGGAAACTATGGAGATTATGCATGCAACCTAGATCTGGCTCAACCTGAAACAAACCATCCAATACAATTTTAGGTTGGGCTAACAGTATTCCATGTATCAGACTGGATTAGGGATGGAAAACAACATGTGATTTTAAATCAGGCCGGGCTCAGTTCAAACCTTGAGTTACCAAACTAAACCAAAACAATACCTGTTTTATGTTTATTAATACAACAAAATAGTAGCTACCCTGGCAGAACCAAAACACAGCTGATGTTAAGTTCAGGTGCCAAGTGCCAACTCTTTTTCCAGTTCCAGCTCCAGTCAGGAAAAGGTTAGTTACATCTCATATAATTAGACTAAGGTTGATCTCTCAACCTAACCCAACCTAAAACTGAGGCTGATGCCTAATTGATGTATTCACTGCTCCGAGATGATTCAAAATATGAATGGAGTAAATGGATTCAACAACATGATCCTGAGAGCTTATATTCACTTTGGTGTATACTTGCCTGTACAGTTGAGCACTGCCACTTTCTTCCAAGAGCATCCTCAATTTTAAGATCAATCTTTGGACCGTAAAAGGCACCCCCACCTTCATCAATTTGGTAGTCCCAACCCTTATCATCCAAAGCATCTTTAAGAGCAGCTGTTGCTTTTTCCCATATATCATCACCTCCCACAGCTTTCTCTGGTCTTGTGGAAAGATTCACTTCATACTTGTTAAAGCCAAATTGCAGTAAGATCTCCTCTGTTAGATCCAGGACACCCCTGATTTCATCCTTGATCTGATCTTCTAGACAAAAAATGTGTGCATCATCCTGCATGGTATATCAAACACATGAGTTCCTGTCATCTAAGAAACAAAACCAAAGGTCCATTAACAGAACAGCATTACAATCTATGATGCCTAGATATATGTACAAGGGTGCCACATCATGCCGGATACTTAAATTTTTAGTGGAAATTTCATATCTGATACTGTATCCAGGTAATGTAGATTTCAATACAAGCTACTCCACTGAAAGTTATTATAACCACCATTGTTCTCATTCTAGAGCTTCAAAATGGAACATTGAAGAGAAGTAGGATGATAGGAAAAAGCCATCTTCTTGACTCTCCGAAACACATGTGGACACCCATGGGGCTGAGACCCAGCAACTAGAAGTCCCACCAGAGAGACTCTAAACCAAAAACCATGAATAGATAAATCTAGAACTCTATATGCAGTCCATTTTATGAACAATATAGGTTCAATACCAGGAAATATCAGATCAAATCACCTTTTCCTGCTAGGAATTTCCTAGACGTCTTGATGGTGGTACATTTATACCAAATGTATATTGGGAAAGCACAAGAAAAGTCCTTTGCCAACTAGCAAGTTCCTTATGAAATAATCAAGCTCTACAATAACCTAGGAGAAGTTCTCCTTAAAGACATCCACCAGGATATACAAAAGTAATAGTGTTAGATAAGAAATGCAAAAACATATAGAATTCAAAGAAATATCAACCTTCAAAATATAAATAAGAGAGAGAAGAATGCACCTGAGTGAAACCTCTTACTCGGAATAGGCCATGTAAACTTCCTGACAGCTCATATCTATATACAGTTCCCAACTCAGCAACCCTAATTGGAAAGTCTCTGTATGAGTGCAGCTTTCTTTTGTAGACCAGAATATGGTAAGGACAGTTCATGGGTCGAAGTTGATAGAGTTCATCCTCAATGTTCATCTGCTCATACATATTCTCCCTGTAGAAGTCCAGATGACCACTGATCTTCCAGAGATCTGCCCTTGCCACATGTGGAGTGTACAGAAGATCATAACCATGCTGTATATGTATTCTCTTCCATGAATCTTCTATGATATGCCTAACTATGGCACCCTTAGGATGCCAGAAAACTAACCCTCCTCCTGCTTCATCCTGTAAGAGTTCCATCAAGAAGCTTGAGTTCCTTTAAGAGTGAAATAAGTTCCTCCCTGGTCTTTAAACTAAATTTCAACAAATATATGGAATTTCTGTATATGTATACCTGTAAATTTTCAAAAGCCGCTTGCAAAGAAAATGGTCTTGTGAAGACAAAACTCAAAAAGATAAAAACAATAATAAGTTTAGTTTTTTAAAGGAATGGATGCGTGTTTATTCTCTAGAAACAAGCTGGAAAAGATCCATCTGTTTGATAATTATAGCTTAATGAATGTTTTAGAACTATCACAACATGGAAACATTAATTATGATAATGACCAAGAAACCATAAAGATAAAATCCACCACATTTTAGTTGAATTAAATAGTTGACCAATAACGTTGTCCTTGGAATAACATACACTAGTATGAGAGCATAGATTCAAATGAATCTGAAACTATGTTTACCTGTATAGAGAAAAGATCAAGATCTTGACCAAGACGCCTGTGATCCCGGCGTTTTGCCTCTTCTTTAAAGTGAAGGTATGCTTTTAATTGGTCTTCAGATTCCCATGCTGTACCATAGATCCTCTGCAGCATTGGCTTATTTTCATCCCCTCTCCAGTAAGCCCCAGCAACGGATTCAAGTTCAACAGCTTTCTTGTTAATGTTGCCGGTAGAATCAACATGAGGTCCAGCACAAAGATCCCACCATTCATTTCCTAGATAAAATATAATGAAAGAAGCCCAAAATACATTAATAACCAAATAATTAAAGCTTCAAAATAAGCACTACTTAAATACTATCATTTAGACCTGAAACCACACACTACACCCTTAAAAATTAGCTAAAGAAAGTAAATATGCAGTAATGATCCTTAAGTAAGCTAGATAAATTATTTGAATGCATAAGTTTCTTTGTTAATTTTATGAGAACCATATCTTGGCTCCAGCCTCAGCAAGTACAAAAATGGAGTATGTCCACCTACAAAACCATTTGGCAGTGAGGAAAAGTAAAGAAAAGATTCCCCCATCTTTCTGTCCCCATAGCAATATGACTAAAAATTATTAACTCAAATTTCCTCTAGTGCATTTGCCTACTATAACATGATAACAGCAGTCATCCTTCCACTCAAGTGTGCATTTGAAACAGGTGTTGGCATCAAACAAAGAGTACTTCAAAATCTTCAACAAATATAAACTTCGTCACATAAAAAAAAATGTCAGTGCATGTGGATAACAGCATTGTGTCTCTTCTTTTTCTCCATCAGCAACCAATTATCATAAGATGTGAAATAAAATATAAGATTAGCTTCAAAATGGAAAGGAAACTAGGACTTTATTAACTTTACACAAATTCAGTTAGACTGCAATTTGTATCTCCTCATAGATTGAGTTTTGAATAAGATACTTAAATGCAAAGTGACCATAACCACAAGTAACTCTTACTCACAATCCATAAAAAGCATTCTTTCACAACTAACATACTCCAATTCTCCTATACTAACTGACCCAATATACTATGACTTACCATGTGGACTCCCACTACTGACAAACTACAATTGACCATTGACCAAATCAACTAAGAAATATCATCTACTGCCCACTAACTACTCATGACTCAATCACATATTCATCAATCTTTCCCCATAGAGTAGCCCTCAAAGTTAAGGTTGGGGTGGGCTCCACAAACACAAATTAGTAATGGCATGGCATCTTCAAATTATTGGCCATTGCCATTCTCCCCTTCTAGCCAAGGCCCATTGATAGAGATATTGAAGCAAGGAAAGAATCCATGGAGAAATGAATTAGTTTTCCAATTCCTCGTGAATTTCAGAATTTTTGGGTAATAGGGATATTGGCATTTTTGAGTTTTAAGTTTATTTTCTAGTTTTAGGTGTCTTAAGAATAGGGTTTCAAGTCTTTTAGGAATTTACTGTTACAAGTAAAGCAAAAATACGAATTGTGGTTCCTCCACAAACAAACCTTATCCAGAACACATCCATCAATCCTTCAGAATAGCTGGCTAGCTTCTTAAGTTCTGCTTCGTAATCTCACAATGTCATCATCTAATGGAGTTTTGCAAGAGCTCAAGTGTGATCTTCATGCTTAGTTGGCTGAAACCAGTCATTTGAGGTTGCTAATAACTCCCTCCATGGCATGTAAACATGTGCCTTCTCATACCACTAACCACTGCAAAACTCTTCACCTTGTAGGCGAAAGGTTGCAATAAGTGATGCTCATCCACTGTTCAGCTATATGCAAGGAACTGCTCCACTTTGTACACCCATGACCCACCTTGATGGATCTCCACCTTCATAAGGAGGAAAGGTGAGCTTCACAATCCAAGGTTTAATGGTGGCATTACCTGGGATGTAAAAATCCTTATCCACCCTGAGACTTAATCCTCATTCATCTCTGCTTTCCCTTTGTGAACAAGTCTTTCCAGTTGATCAAGCTTGCTATTGTTTTGTGCTTGTTTGGCCTTGAGAACAGTTACCTTTTGGACAATATCAGCAAGGATTGTTGCACTGTCATCTCTTATCTTTGCTCTACCATCAAACATCCTACTTCTCTTTCTCCCTTTGTAAACAATTTACATAAGATTTCAGATAAAAGATAACGTTAGGCTCAAATAGAGAGGAATGTAGGACTCTGAAGTCTCAATTGAACTCCACGAGACATTCAGATAGACTGCAATCCACGTATCCTCATAGATAATAAATTACATTTTGATTAAGATATATAAATACAAAGTGACCATAACTATGAGTAGCTCTAGTGTTCCCAATATAATGACTCATAAGAATTATTCTTTCACAAGAAACAGACCACCTCTCCTATATGCACTATCCTAATACATTATGACTTACCATGTTGGCTCCTACTAATAAACTACAAAAGGATATTAGCTAAATCAACTAAGAGACCTAATCTATTGTCCACTAGTTACTCATGACTCAACCACCTATGCATCAAAATGTGTGACCACTATACACAGATGTCAAAACTTGATCAACTTATAGCAACTTGAACACAAGATAGCAGCAAGCAGCCAAACTTACCTAGTTGCTTCAAGCTGACTATTTTATTTCAGAGTGAAACATCTAATAAATTCTATTTAAGACCATTACTAGAGCTAGACCTAGCTATCAAAAGGTAAAATTCAATATTTACAGTCACAAATGAATGATGCCAATGTTTTCAAAAGTCCATGTTAATTTGCTCTTTACACCCTAAAATCTTCTATACCATACCATGCTTTGTTTACATTGATTAAGTCATGAGAAATAGATACATATTGCCTCAGTATATAGAAAGACATTTTCATGCCTTGGTGGAGACTATTCTAGATACATCTATATACACATAACAAACTGGATGAGCCTCCACTGCTACAATTACCACTACCACTAGTGCTACCACATAACTTAAAAATTAAAAAGGAGAAGAAGAGTTGATATGTTCATTAAGAGAAAGCAACAACATACACAGAATTGATATAATAAAACAGCAGGACTAGAGAAGGAAAGACTAAAAGAAAGTAAAAGCGAAACAAAGTAAGATGACTGACCAATGTGATATATGGTGATGGGATCTGCCTTAATGCTTTCCAAAATCTCTATTTTGTAAGGCTCATTGATTGTCATTATTCTTTTCTTAGCTTCATCTCTGGAGACTTCTTCTCTTATTAGTGGTAAATTCCGACTAATGATGCGATCCTACAGATGATTTAAGAAATAAATTCTGTACCCTGAAACCATAAGCTAATGAATATTTGCCCAAGCTATGCATGACCTTCCTACACAACTGAAAGGATCAAAAGAAGTTCAGTATTAGGTTGTTCTCACCATCTCCTTTTTTATCCTCTTCAGGTCTTTGTCCGTCAATGGTTCCATATCAAAGTCATAATAGAACCCATTTTCTATCCACGGTCCAATGGTCACTTTAGCGTCTGGGAAGAGTTTCTGGACAGCCATAGCCATTACATGTGCGGACTGCAATGCAACGCAAAGTTTTCCATCAGAGCATAACAATAAGAAAAACAAACGAACTAAACAGATGCGTAATACAAATCCGATAACCAAAATAGCATTATATTAGCAAAATACCACGTCATACAGCATCATACCGTAGAAAACTATTCAAATTTTCTTGCAAGGGAGTTGTGTAGCTTGAGTGTAAATTAAAAGAATCGTCAACGTTCAAAAAATAAAATTTTTGTGCACCAGGTTGGTTTACTAGAGTGTGTTTTGTTTTAATCTATCAAAACTCTTTGGAAAAATGTATAAGGGAAATAGAATAAACTACAATTCTTTGTTAGTATTAGTAGTTACAGTCTTCCAGAAGAAGCAGGAAGAAAACAAGAAAGAATGTGTGTGTGTGTGTGTGAGAGAGAGAGAGAGAGAGAAAGAGAGAGAGAAAAAGAGAGAGAGAAAAAGAGAGAGAGAGAGAGAGAGAGAGAGAGAGAGGAAAGAGAGAGAATTAGTTATAGAGCCATCTAATTACCGTATGTCGAATTCTCAACAATTTCTCTGAGGACTCGTTGGTAGGAAGAACGATCTTCTCCTCATCGGTATTTGCTTTGAGAAGCTTCTCTTCGGCCACAACCGCAGTCTCGGATGAACCCAGGGCCACAGCGGAGGAGGTTGTTGAGATCCCTTTGTTGTTCTTACTCTGCGCATAGACCCCAATTTGCCTTGCGGTGTTTCTTCTCGAAGTGAAAATGAATCCCTTTGGAGGAAGGGAAGGGAGAAAGAAACAGGGTTTTATGAGAGAGCTTCGATGACCGCGAGGATTCGAGAATGGAAGGGAGCAGGCAAAGAGAGGGTAAGTTGACGCCATTCGCTGCAGAAGGTCCTGCCCACTCTACCGTGGTGAAGGCGTGAAGCTGTGTGGCGGAGGTTTTGTATTGTTTCTCTCCACTCACCTCTCTAGAAAATCTAGCCACATCAGAAATAAATCACGAAAACTCACAGGGAGGCCCAAGATTACTCCTTAAGCACTTATCCATTATCCCGCTAAAACTAAAACGCAATTTCATGTACTCATAAAGACGCCCAATAGGTTTTGAGATCCCTTTTCAAATTCATGTACTACATATGTTTTTTATAAAAATATAAATAATATAACGAATTTATAAAAATGCAATATACATAATATATTTAGAAATTGAATCGGGTGATCCGAATCCGATTCAATTTCTAATCATAGATCAGATCCTATTATCCAATATGGTTTGATCCAAAGATCTGAAATGGGGATATCCAAATCCAACAAAATACGATCAGACACGAGCTTATTTGCAACCCTAAGCCACAATTCTAGTTACTTCACTCCACCCCCGCTCAATAGACATGAGCTTATTTCCATGTAAATTTTTAATCATTGTTAAAATCTCCCCTGAAGTTTGATAATTGCAATCATCTCCCTTGAACTTTTATGATACAGTTGTAAGACCCCCTTTGTTAAAAAGAGACAAAAATGTCCACAATACCCATGCAATATAAACAATATAAACAACAAAAAATAGAGAATTTAAAATTGCATCTTTACATTTAAATGATTGATATGAAGGGTAAATTTGGAAAATAAATCAATTTCAGAAAAGAAATTAGAAAGGTTTGATTTAGCAATTCGTATGAAGAGAAAATTTTGAAAAAATAAGCATTTTGGTTAAAAGTAAATGCATGGATATTTTTGACATTTTTGTGCTTTTTTAGAAGACTCTAACGAAGAAGGTATAATTGCAACTATGTTAGAAAGTTCAGGGAAGGTGATTGCAATTACCAAACTTCAAGGGATGTTTCAGCAACAGCCAGAAACTTTAGGGGAGATTTCAGCAATTTACCCTTTTGTCTTTAAATATGATTTGTTTTTGATGGGGGTGGAAGTGACCTCCAATTGGGACAGCCACATGGCAGACTTAGGAATATCCACGGGCCAACCTACGAGTTGCACGGTCTACACCTCAGATGAACATGTTACCTCGAACAAGCATATCCTCCTTGAATGCCTAGGCCAACCATGGCTTTAGGGGAGTTCACCTCGTCTCGGTTGGACAAGTCGCTACGATCTATTGCGAAGGCATAAGGGGCAGCTCGGCAGGCAAATCGAGCTATAGGCATGAGGAAACACACCCCACAAGACGAACTACACCTAGAAAAGCACACCCGAGATCCACCACATGTACACCAAAAGGCCATCTAGCAGCCCCACATGGCAAAGCCATCATCACTGTTTGTCACATTTGGCAATGCCATCATCACGCATGCCCATCCTGTCAATTAGTGGGCCCCTAAGCCCCCTCCATGTGAGAGAAATGTGGTACCAAAGAGACTACGTGTATCCTAACCGAGCTCCAAGTGTTCTTCCCCAAGCTACACATGTCTTGTCCAAAACTCTAGGTGTCCCACATCACTTTGAGACATTTCATTTGGCACAAGCAGCCCTTGCTTATATAAAGGTTAGTTGAGCATTCATTAGATACTTTTGGCCTCATTAATTAATAGTTTTAGCACCTCAAACAGCTTGGCCATACTAACTTGCTCGTTAGAGTTCTTAGCCCGGGGTCTCAACCTGACCTTGTCTTCCTTGAAGGCACCCTATCGGCCATGTTTGGGAGTGCTTAAAAATAAGTGCTTATTCAAATAAGCACTTATTTACATTTGGTAGCCTTTTTCTCCGATAAGCACTTAAATAAGCATTTGTGACTATATTATGCTTCATTTTTTTCAAAATTTTAAAATATACCCTTATGAAAGTACTTTTATTAAATTACTTTTATGAAAGCATTTTTATAAAATAATTTTATGAAAAGTACTTTTACATGAAAACACTTTTACGAAAGCACTTTTATGAAAGTATTATAAAAGTACTTTATAAAATTATTTTTACGAAAACACTTTATAAGAACACTTCTATGAAAGTACTTTTAATATTCAACTAGGGATAATTTTTGGAAGAAAAAAAAATGAATAAATACTTTAAAAAAGCTGAAAATTTGAGCTTAAAAAATAAGCTCTTATTTTTAAAATAAACACTTATTTTGAATTTATTTTCCAAACACTAACAAGTGCTTAATGGTATAGTCTCAACCCAAATAAACACTTATATATTTTTAAACAATTGCAAACATGGCCTTACACTATTCATCTTCATCAATTTTCATCCTCCCCAACTTCAACAGTGCAAATTCTGCAATACTTGCAAGGTCTCGTGATAGAAAAAACTCAACAAACTATACAATAAATTCTTTGACTTAATTTCATATCAACGTAAAGAACATGTCCCTCCTACGAGATCCACCAATCACAGCAATATATCACCAGACATGTCGAGAGATCAAATTCGACGAGCATTAAGGGGGTGTTTGATACAATGTTTGGTTTTGTTTTTGAAAACCATAAGCAATTGCCACATCATCTCACCACAGAACATCTTCTCCATCTGTCTCTTCCTTAGAGAGTTAAGATTTCTACTTTGATTTTTTGTTGTTTTTTTTTTTCTTTCCTTTTTGTTTTCTGAAGTGCCCTTATGTTTGTTGGGAGAGATTGCTGCCTCCACCCCATTTAGGATAATCTATTATTATGTATTGCTTTGACTCACTGCTAGGTGACCCTGGTTGGCCATTGGACCGAGTTGGCTAGGTTCGACTCCAGTTACTCAGTCTAAGGTGAGTTAAATTGGGTTCATGTGTCTGTGCTCTTACGTTAGCCCCCTAATCAATTTCAGGTACCTGTAACTGAAGTTGAGCACATTAATCTAAACAATATGAAAGGCTTACTTTGGAAGGAGTACAAATTCAAATATATAGAGTATTTTATTTTGTATTATTTTCTATGTATTTGTCTTGTACATATTTGTTTTTATGCTCTTTCCAAACTGAGCCGAAATGTCATTGCCTGCAATTGAGTAAGTAAATGTGATATACTGATATTAGCCATGTAGCATAATTTAGTTCATTTCACGCAATTGTTATATGCATCTACTTTGCATTTTGCATTTTACATTTCTGAACTTTTGTTCTGCAACTTACGAATGCATTTCACAGCTTGGAACTTGGGTTTTGCTGCCTGAAAATTGTGGTACACACTTTGATACTTTGTTCCATAGTGTTTCTCAATTTTAATTCGCATTTCACGACTTGCATTGTGAACTAAACTAGTGATTGTATCTATGGTTTTCTGTAATCTCTTAGGCTCAGTTTGGAAAGATTACAAATACATAGAAAATAATGCAAAATACAAGATTTTGTACTCTACAAATTTGTATTTGTATTCCTTCCGAACTGAACCTTAGGAATTAGCCCCCCCCCCGCCCCCCCCCCGCCCGCTTTTTTTGAATACAAGGGCATGAGACTAAGGGGGCGTTCTTTTTTCGGATTTTGAGAGGGGAGAAATTTGGTCAATGGGATTTTGGTTCCCATTGACTAAGAATCCCATGCTCTTTTTTCAGATTTATGTGGGGACTAGGGAAAATTGTATTTTCCAAGTAAGTGATACCTATCTCCTAGGTGGGTAATAACTTTCCCACTTAGGGGGAAAGTTGCCAACACTTGAATGAGACAAAAATGTCTCTTTTAATAATGGATTTGTATGGCTAAAATGGTCATTTGTCTTATTAATTACATGAGAAATAAAAGAACATGGGTAAATGCACTTATTCGGGTAAGTGTTTCCCAATAAAAAGTTACCTAGGTAATTGCAGTTACTTGGGTAAATAACTTACCGAAAAGCAAACGGGGCCTAAGTGCGATTTGCTTTCAAAAATAAGCCTTATCAGACAAACTAGTAAATTTTATTAGCCCCCAAAATGTTAAAAATTTTTGACAAGGGTCTTTATTTCTAGAAGCGTTGGATTACTATCGTTATTGCAGAATGTCTATTAAGGTGTCCTTAAGTGATTTGAGTTTGTGGGTGATGGCAAAAATGATGATATTGATGATATTGTTAATAATAATTATACTAAGTTGTAAGTGTATGAGACGTAGGTTGCAAAATATAACAATTGTGATGTTAGCACGAGTCTGTGTTTGAGGATGGTGGTGGCCAAAGTTGCCAAAAATTTACCTAAAGACACCTAAGGTTGTCAAGGGCTTGTTTGAGAATGCCTGAGGTGGTCAGGGCCTTTGAGAGTGCCTAGGATTGTCAGGCTTTGTCTGACCAGTGGATGAGCTAGAGATAAAATAGTACCACCCGGCTGGGTTATCTATCACGAGTGAATACGCCAATGATCACTGTGAACCCATTTGTATTAAACACTGGTGTGTTTACTCATGATAAGTAACACAGCCCAGTGTGCATGATTTTGTCTCCAACCAATATAGAATATTTGGGATTGTCAAGGCTTTATTTGAGAGTGTTTGGGGTTACCAATACTATGTCTAAGAGTATCTGGTTGATTGACTGTGGATGTGGCTTACTATGATTGTAGTTATGTCTAAGTGTTTGTAACTAGTTATTACTAATTGTAACTGTAACCATGCCTAACTATGTTGCCTAGTAATTTGGACCTTGTATTTGACCCTGGCTTGGCAAGGGCCTATCGACTTGCCACCCAAGACTTGCGCAATCTAAAAAGCCCCAAGACATGTTCTATTGAGACATGCTAAAACATTATTTGAAAATTTTTGAAAAAAATTGTAAAAGTACTTAGGTGGCATTTATTTGACAAATCTGAAATCTGAAATATAAAAAGTTAAAAAGATATTAAAAGTGTTTGAAATCTTAAGAGGCATAAATGCCTTTCTACTTTTTAGGGGATTTGAATAGATAAGATTGTTTGTGTTGGATCAACCCTTCATATCTGAAAGTCCCTGATTTTACTATTTTACCCCTAAAATAGGTTATTTGGTATTTTTGAGTTCAATTTGCATTATTTCATAAAAATAATTTATGAAATTCAAATAATATTGAAAAATATGAGTAAATTATAAAAAATAAAAAATAATTTATTAAAATAAGAAAAAAATTAAAAAATACATATAAATTTA